ATCCATGATCTAGCTACTTCATTTCATCAAAAATCTCTTCTAAATCTATTCCAACTTGTGATCATGCACCTTAGAAGTCACCAAACTCGAGATCTTCAAGAAAAGGGTGCTAAGGCCAAAAATCACTTCATTTCTTCCATCCTTTCTTCAAAAACCGAATCAACACCCAAGGTGAGCTTCATACCCCCTTATTTTCGGTTTTTATAAGTTTTTGTGGGGGAGAATACAAGCAAAGGTGTAGATCCATCATTATGTGTATGTTTTGGTTGATTTCTATGCTTATATGTATGTTTTGTATGATTTTGATGCTAGATCTAGTTATGAATTGCTAAAAACCGAGATATATTTTATACTAGCATAAAATATACTACTACATGCAAAGTATACCAAGAAAAATAGCCAAATGGCTTGACAACACTTATTTTGGGCTAAAAACTCATTTTTTTGACACAAAATGTTAAAAATACAAAGTTGAAGGGCCTAAAATGAAATATTTCGAAATCTGATGGGTGAGATGAGTCAAAACAGTTTCCATAATGTATTTTCTGAAAATATACTATTTGGAGGATTAAAAGCATAAATTTCAAGCTTAATGGGCTAAAAATGACAATTTCGGCCCAATAGAGCCCATTATGCGAAATTTTCTGTTTTGGAGGGCCAAAACTGTGTTTTTCTGTAAAACAATGGACCACTAGTGTCACAAGTACTTTTCAAAGGTTTAAAATGCTTTTCAAATTTAAAAAGGACCAAAGTTGCAAAAATTTTCCAATTTGGGCCAAAAATGTAAAGATTGAAAAAGAGGGGTTACAACCGAGAAAACTGCAATTTCAGGGACTTAAACTGTTTTCAATGAAAAATATGCTGAAAAATATTAATTTCAATAATTTTTGGTGTTAAATGTCAAGAAAAATGGTTTAAGGACTAAACCGGAAATTATTTTACCTAAAGGGGTGAAAAAGTAAATTTACAAAATAAAGAGGGGTTGTAAACAGAAAATTTTCAATGATAATTCAATACACTCGTTGTGAACAAAGATTGACACTACGACTCTCGATGGATTACAATACACAATATCACCAACAATCGTTACCAAACGAATTGATTCGGTCTCGAATCAATAACAAATCCAAAACTACTAACACTACAACGCTCAATACACATATGGAACTCTTGGAACTCTTTACTCTCGTGGAATTACTCAATACGTCGACGTACACTCCTTAGGCCCAAAAGTTGCAAATCATGCTTGTCGAGCCTAGCTAGCCCGATGACATGATCTTTAGGCCCAAAGGACACTTGCTTACATGTAGTTGGGTCTAATACGACTCGACCGCGTGTAAAAGGACTTTCAATGGCAAACATGCTGCTGGTCCCCAAGGGTCCTTCAGTGCTGCTAGTAAAGTCGGGAACTCACGATTGCGGGTTGGGCTTCGGGCCCTTCGCAATTGCAATGGTCTTGAACGACGTAGGGAAATACCGAGGGTTTCGCACCTTCACTTTTTCTCCTCGGTCGTGGGACTACACAAGTCCGGGAGGATTGAGTTGCGTGAATAACTGCGAGTGACGCCTAAGGGATCGCTAGCACGGTTGTCAACTGGACGTTTTCATTAACGTACGTTACAACAATTCACCACCCTCTGTATACTCAATGCCTCCGGAGCTCAACGAACACCTCTAACGTAACGAAATAACAGTACACAAACTAAGTAAAGCAAAGTGATAGGAAAACGTCGGGTTTTCCTAGGGTTTTCAACAAGTACACTTATGAACTACATGTCGAATTTCACAACTCTTACGCTTACATCTATAGAATTCAAACAAGCATACTCACGGATCTTCACATATTTTTACGCTATTCTATTTTCAGAAAATATCGGATTTTCTGGTGATTTTTTTTAAAACATTACAAACATTGGATTTCAAACATTACTTATGAACTCACCAACATTTCACATGTTGACGTTTTTCAAAATACTTGTATTCTCAGGTAACAGATAAGTGAAGAAAGGACTGTACTCTATGATTGTTTTGCGATTGTTTAAGTAACAATGAACCATGTATTTTGGAATGTAATATTTTGAAACAATGTAATGGATGTAAATGCTACCAGTTGTATCATTCCAATGCTTGGTGATGTATAATGTTATGTTTCATGTATATTCATTGTGATGGTATTCAATTGAGTCACAACAGCCCCCAGACGTTTCCGTCGTCTGGTTTGGGGGTGTGACAGGGTATCACTACATCCTCGTAGTGACCATATCAAATCCTGAATGCTGTTTTGGAACATCATTCTCGTGAACTCGAAGCTGACTGGGTAACTTCTGCATTTCTGTTGGAGTCTATCGATGCGGAGATTTGGCTATAGGGTTTGCTCCGGGAATTGGGTTGATACAAAGCTCTACTTGGCGTCCGAAGGGAATTCCCGTGAGCTTTTCGGAAAAGACATCAGGATAAATTGCAGACTTTGGGGACGCTCTCGAGGTCTTTAACTTCCTGTTTCTCGTTGATCTCATAGGCTGGGAACTAAGTTTATCGCTAATGCTCTATTTCTCACCGTTAGCTATCTCGACGGTAAACGTTTTGGTTACTAGTTGAGGACTATGTTTATGAAGATGTTCGAATGAATAGCTAACAAATTTTCTTTCAGTACTATAATCGAAAAGGATTGCAAGTATAAGGGCTGTCGAGGAGGAATATACCTGTGGCAACGGTGGGATCGACGACTGCCTCATCTTGTCCTATAGCTAGGACTCTTCCAGTGTTGCCAGTTGTTGCTGTCTTGGGGTAATTTCGCTTGAAATGCACAACTTCACCACAATCGTAGTAGGCCTGACTGATGCCCGCTCCAGAAGTTTGAGTGGTTGATTGGGTTGGCATCTTATAGTTTTTCGCTGTGTAACCCATTTTCCCATCGTTGTTGCAAAACACATCTCGACATGGGCTGGAGGTGAGGTGATGATAGTTGCACTTGTCACACATAGGGAAGGTACCAACATACCTACTAGTAGGTTTTTGAGCTGTGGATCCGATGATAGAAATAGCAGCAGGGATAGTAGCAGCGTGGACTGCAACAGTTTGCTGCTTCTTCGAGAACTCCTGCAAAGGCTGACTTTTCTTCTTCGAAAACTTTCTTTTCTCACCACTTCTCTCTGTCGACTCCGGGGTAGTGGCTGCTTCCTATAGATCGTCACTATGGTCGATCAGGATTTGCGCTAGGCATTTGGCGCTGTCGTATGTGTCCGGCTTCGCAGCCAAAACGTTCCCTTTTGTTGGTTGGGTCAATCCCCAGATGTATGGCGTTGGGTGAACGGTTGGGACATAATAAGGGGTGTACGGCGTAGGTGTTAGTTGTTGAGCCAGGGGGTTCTGTTGGTGGGTTATGGTTAGCTGTTGGTAGAACAAGAGTGGTGAAGCTGGTATGGCACTTGCCATTGACAACTGGTGGTTTTGTAGCTGTGATGCGGTGCCTGTGCCGATCATAGTGCCGTTGGGATGTGCACTGCTTTCGAGGGGTGTGACAGTTGTTGTTTAGGTACTATAAGGATTAACGATAGCGGGGAAGAGGTAGTGTGGTGTATATTAGTTGGTTCTGGGGTGGGGTTAAGTGTGTCACAGTTGGTATTGGTCGGGGTTGAGACATAGCGGTTTGCGCAGCCGTGGTGATGGGGTTTAATAGCGAGTCTGTTGGTACAGTCACCGAAGCTTGCGGCAGCGAACCACTTGAAGTTGGTGTTGCATTGAAATTTAGCCTCGGGTTCCCGATTAACGGCGGTGCTCCAGAGATTGGTGTTTGGTTGCTGGGAAATGGGGCTGCCGGAGTGTCTTCCGTCCCTAAAGGTCCCATCGGGCGTATGGGGCTGTGTGGTTGTTCCGACGGCTCGCCCGTCGCTTTCTCCGCCATGCGTGGTTGTGGAAGGTAGTAAAATGGGAAAGGGTTTGTGTATCTGTTGTCATACAAATGGATGATGCCAAATGATGTGACCAGGTCCCAAACCACCGACTATGTGGAAGAGCTCTTTCACAGCGGAACTTGAGAAGTGACACACGAGAAAAGGATGTTAGCTGTCATCTGGGAGGAGCTCCCGGAAAGACGCTCCGACGGTGAAGTTAGTCTGGAGAGTATGGGAGAATATGGTAATGCATAAGTGAAGTTGGGTTCACTTACCTTGGCTGAACCGAGTGCTAATCCTTTATAGTGAGGATCCTCCTCGGTACGTATGGAGACAGGGACTATGATCTCGACAGGATCCGTCGTCCTCATTGGAGGCTCTGCTCCACGTTCGTGTCCCGGCCTCCGATTGGTTCAGGCGATTGTGCTTTGTTTGGGTGCTTTATCGTCTGAAGCCGTTGTCTTTGGATTGTAGCTCAAAGACAATTCTTGGCGAGGGCGAGCTTTCTACACGATCGCTACGCGGGGCTTGGAGCTACCTAGGTCGCTGACCAGAGGCGCTCTGCCGCAACTCGCTTGTTTCTGGCCTACTCTAAGGGGTGCGTCATCATATATATATATATATATATATATATATATATATATATATATATATATATATATATATATATATATATATATATATATATATATATATATATATATATATATATATATAGCGGGTTGGGGATTGTTATACCCGGCCCCGGCCCCATCCCTCGTTTTAGTATAATGGGGATTCCCGACCCCGTATCCGGTACCTGTTTTGGCGGGGTATACCCTTCCTCGATTGGGATAGGTCAACCGGGTTTCCCACCGGATCGAGTAAAATTTTCATCCCTAATACTAAAGGCTTAAATTTTTATTAGTAACAAAAGATTATTTCCTAGGACTCACCGCAAAGTAAAAATCCATTCAAACAAATTAACAAAAATTAGTTCGCCACTTATCACAAATTAACGGTTTTTAAACTGAAAAATCTCATAAAAAAATAAATTAAACGATGCAAAAACGCTATTAAATTCTCAAAGAAAAAAAAACAAACTTTAAGTTTTATAGAGCATATAATATATGAAAAGATAATTTGTCATTTTTAAAACTTGTACGTTACAAGCAGACAAATCGTGCAATGGAGGAGGACGACGGACGGAGGGATCTAGTCAACGCCGTTTGACTAAATTTTCTTCTTGCTTTTATTAACGAGAAACCCTTGCAGAGAAGAATGGTAATATGGTGATCAAGTGAAATTTTTTAGGCAGTAGTATATTTTAATGGTCAGGCGGCGTCGTATTTATTGTGTTTCATCTTCCCCTTCCCCCTCTAATTAATTCGATAAGGTCTCTTGCTATATATAAGGTCTCAATTTTTTCTTCACCCGTGAAAATTCAGAATCTATACATACAAATTTCTTGTATATATACGTATAAATATATGATATCTATTTATATATACACGATATACCCATCTATATATAGAGAGACACGCATATCTGTTCTTTTTAGAGAGAGAAGGAGAAGGGAATGAGCACAAGGCGTGAGATTTCTTATAAGAAGGTGAATAACATGTGTTATGAGAAGAGAAGAAGAGATGACAATATTATGGGTGAGAAGATAAAACGTAGCCGGAAAAGGTTGAAGTCGTCGTCGGGGACACCGGTCGCGACTGTTTCCGGCCGATGTGATTTCCTTGAAACGCTTCCAGACGACATCGTTTTGTTTATTCTTGCAAAGCTTGGTGCCACCGCCGCTTGTCCCGCCGATTTTGTGAGTGTTTTATCAACGTAAGGATCCGGATTTGAGATTTGTAACTTTTTTTTTTTTTTTTTTGAAGTCTCCAATTTTTTGTCTGAAAAAGGATCCGATTATCACGACAATTCTGTTAATTTTGTTACTGATTTTGTTGGTGTTTGTTGAACAGATGCAAAAGGTTAAACGCGTTAGGTGTTCACTCTATTGTGTTATCAAAAGCATCTCCGAAGGCGTTTGCTTTTAAATCTGAAAACTGGTCGGAATCTGCTCACAGGTTTCTTAAACAGTGCTCAGATGCCGGAAATATTGAAGCTTGTTACACACTTGGCATGGTTAGTTCAATTTTTATGGTTTATATATCTTGATTGACATTCTACGTATGAGCATTAATTAAACTGACATGATGTTTACTTTGTTTGACACAGATTCGGTTTTATTGTTTGCAAAATCGAGGAAGCGGAGCGTCTCTAATGGCTAAGGCAGCGATTAATTCTCACGCGCCGGCGTTATACTCGCTTGCAGTGATTCAGTTCAACGGTAGTGGCGGTTTAAAAACCGACAAGGACTTACGCGCCGGTGTAGCTCTTTGTGCTCGTGCGGCGTTTCTCGGTCACATCGACGCGCTCCGGGAACTCGGACATTGTCTCCAAGACGGTTACGGCGTTCGTCAGAACATTGCTGAAGGCCGGCGGTTTTTGGTTCAAGCCAACGCCCGTGAGCTTGCCGCTGTACTGTCAACAACTCCATCCGCGTTGATGTCCGGTAACTGGATGACATGGAACCCCCTACCTCACCTCCGCCATGGAAACATGGTGGGTCCTGGGTGTTCTTTACTTAGCGATTTCGGATGTAACGTACCTTCATCGGAACCTCATCCGTCAAACCGGTTTCTTACAGATTGGTTTTCCGGTAAGATACTTTCGTCGGGGCTTCGTTTATGCTCTCACGCCGGTTGTGGTCGGCCGGAGACCAGAAAACATGAGTTCCGGCGATGTTCAGTTTGCGGAGCTGTTAACTACTGCTCTCGAGCGTGTCAAGCACTCGACTGGAAGATGCGTCACAAGATGGAGTGTACACTAGCTGACACGCGGGTCGATGACGGCGACGGGGAAGACAACGGCAATGCTAACTACGACGATGGAATGGTTGTTGAGAGTTGAACCGTTCTCCGGAGATACTGAACTTACCGGTGATTGTAACGGCAGTTGAAGCAAAGTTTTGTCGGGGAGAGTTTTGGAATTTAAAATATATGCTTTCTTTTGATGTTCGCCGGAAACTCTGACGTTAGTAAGAGATGTTATTATTATTTTTTTTTAATTATTTTTAATAACGTTAGCAATTTCTATACGATATATTTTAATATAACCGCCTTTTATAATTAGAAAATAACTACTAGGGTTATGCATGAGTGGATTCAAATCCATCCCAACTCATAAATGATCGGTTTTAGCTTTCAGAACAGTAGGATCGGTTTCCGATTGATTCGGTTTCTTGGGTTCTAAGGTAGGTTTGGACGGTTTTTCGGTTTCTTGGGTTCAACCCATATATTCATGGGTTTTGGGTTTAAACCCATGGGTTTTAGGTTTTAACCCATTTTCCATAAATGAAGCAACAAGTTATATACTTCAAAAAACATCAAATATAAGTTAAATTCTTTAAAAAACATGAATCTTATAACAAATAGTCTATTACAACTTACAACCAAAGCCCGAAATAGTTTATTATAACCAAAAAACAATCAAGTATGGGACGGTTTCCCGGGTTGGATGGGTCTGTTTCTTTGGGCGGTTTGCCGGTTTTAAGTATGTGTTAGTTTCTCGGGTTGGAAGGGTTGGTTTTTGGGTAAAAACCGAATCCAAACCCGATTTTTCGGTTTTTAAAAAATTCAAACCCTAACCGTCGGTTTTGCTTCAATTTCGGTTTTTTCTGTTTCGGTTTTGCCGGTTTTAATCGGTTTCTCGGTTTATTGGTTTGGGTTTGCTCACCCCTAATAACTAGGGATGTATCCCGCTTTGCGGGGGTCGGATTTCAACTCAACTATTTGCGAAAGGAGTTTACGCTATATATATATATTTTTGATTTGATATAATCAATTGCATAATCCAATTTCACACATTCTAGCATAATTTTGACCCCAATTTGATGAAACCAAATCATATGACTTGGAAAAATTTCAAGTTGGTGCTAATTACACCAAAAAATAATGCAGGGCATTCAATAACCAAGATATTGAAGATTTAATTAGAAAACAAACAATTTGAAGCATTAATCAAGAAATACAGATGAAGCATTGCATTTGAAACATGTTAAACCACCTAATCATAACTTTAGATAAAGTTACATTTCATTATACTGATACATTATCTTAATCCAAATCTTGCAAAATAGTTGGAAACTAAAAAATCATATATTTAATATACCTCTTTTTGCATCATCAGTTTGTAGTTCGAATAAACCACATAAGAGTTTTCATCTGAATACTTGCCCACAAACTTTGCACATTTGTTGCATGTCTTGAAAGTGATAAAACAATGTGGTTCGAAACCTAAAAAGTTTTACAAAATTAGTCGTAATAAGTATAAAAAAAAACATTTTTAAATGTTATAATGACCAAAAAGATACATTGTATCCATGCATGCCTAACTGCCTTCGTAATCAAATCATTGATTCATCTAAGCAGCAACCAAATGAAACCTAAAAGAACTCAACACAAGTAAAAAAGTATCAGAGCTCACTCCATAGAATAAAGTCAGCCAAAGCAATACCTGGGATTCAAAAACAAAACCCAATATTTAATTATTTAATTTCTTTCTTTGTCAAAATCTCATAAAAAAAGACTAAATCATCAACCTTGCAATCTCACTATCCGTGAGTAATCAAAATCAAATAGTTGTAGCTTTCTGGACAAATACATGAACATAATTTGAGTATTAACCATATTATTGTTTAAACATCCACTCTCTTTTTGCGGACTGCAGTCACCCATATTTCTTCCATAAACTCTCAATAAAAGAATTCACCACAAACTTGATGAACATGTCAAAGTGAATACCCGATTGAATTTGTTTTCCTATAAATTAATAAAAATGCATGTTATTAGTAGTTCATAAGTTCCAAAAATCCATGATAAAATCTAAGAGCAAGTTGAACAGTAAACTCAAGCTTTCATTCAAATGAGAAATTGTTAAAGGAACAATAAGATTTTTTTTCTGTATAATTAAAATATATGTTTAATATTAAGAAAACCATTTGTACGTTGTGTGACTTTGAAGTAAGTCAAAGGTGCAATTGTGTAATAATGGAAAGATATTAAAGATTGCAGCTAATAATGGAATCTTGTTCTTACTAATATTGTTAGGCTGGTGATTAAGTGGGTGTGATTAATGACTTCACATGTAAAAACTCTTTGGTAATATATCGATCCCCTTTGTTGGAGGAATCATATTTTCGATATTCTCCTCTCAATTTTTGCAGTTGCAATAGCCTTAAATGAATGACAACATGAACAACTATTTAAACCCCATAAATTGAAATAGAAATCAGAGTTTTTTTTATATATATATTTTTTTGTGTAATTATACAAAACTAATAAAAACTTCAAAAAAGATTTTATTTAACATTCTAAAACTGAATTGCAAAAGAAACCTTGTAAGTTGGTTACAATCGTTGTGAATGCCTCAAAGGCATTTCATCGGACATGTTGTGAGCAAAGCTGATAAGAACAGCAAGTTCTAATTTCAGAAATCATATCGACATGAAAAAAATTAAAAAAAAAGGTAACGGAATAAGACATTACATTCCATGATCATGTTTGATTGTCATGTAGGATGGAATGTAGGGATTTTTGTATTCAATGTAAATATGTTTGCATAGTTTGAACTCTATGGTATACATTATTTACTATAATTATTGAATTATTTATTTTAAAAATAAATAAACATAATAATTTTAAATACTTTTAGAAAATAAAACTTTAATTTAACGAAAGTCATGAAATTTAGTAAAGAAAGATGTGTCGTTAAGAGCTATATACATAAAAATAGGTTATGTTGCAAATGTTTCATTCCATTGAATGATGGAAAAAAATACCTATGAAAGGAATGAAAATTAACAAAACGAAAGGAATCATATTTCTTCAAGAATAGTATAATCCATTCTATCTTAAAGATCAACAACTTTTTTGTTCCCCTATGGAATGAACCATTCCATTTCTTTCTCAATTTCATCATACCAAGCACTATCACAAGGACATATATTATTTTAAAAAGTATAGCCCATGTTACTCTAACTCACATTAATCGTCATTAAAAGATGTCAAACAAATAGAAAAATGTGCGAAGAAAAACAAAAGAATAGGATTAAAAGTACATTAGCAATGAGACTAAAATTTTTGATTATCAAGGGAAATTAGCACCAAAGAAATTGGATATTATAGCTTAAATATCTCTCATTCCATTATACATACACACATTTTCTATTTTATTCAGTGTAACTACGTATATAGCTTAATAAATTAAGTTCTTTCCTCGTTTAATCCATCAAGTCAAAAAGAAATAACAATTTAGACAAGTTCATTTGTAACTTTAGTTTTCCACCATGAGTCAGAAGCTTATTTACAACGGTACAAAGGGGAATATTAAATGTTGATATATCAGGAACAATATAGTTTCTGAATGAAAGAAAATACTTGGTTTTGGAAGAAAAAAATACCATGGCAATCCTTATTTTATCATCAAGTTCATCATACCTATTGTTTAGTCTCCCAAATTTGTTAATGTTCTGCTGATCCTCCCATGTCACTGGTTTCAGAGCCACCACTAGCCTTTGATTTCCATAAAAATTGATAGTGAGGCAAAAAAGTAGAAAGCTCCAAGATAACCAAAAAAGATGAAACTATAGATAGAGAAAAGGAAAGAAAAAAAACTAAGAAAGTAATTAAATATAACTTTCACCTGCTCAATGATTGATACTGGGAGGTGATGTTTGATGAGACAGAAGAAAAAGTTTTAGCTTTCTGGTGTCCACTGTACAGCATAAGGCATCAATGGTAGTATAAGTGTTAAAAAGACTTCCAATCTTAAATATCTTCATGAAGAAAAGGTTTCACTTTAGTTGTACAGATTTATAATATTCTAATTCACTTAAACAACCACAAAGGTAGCAAATCGAACTAAAAAAGGAAGAGATGAAGCTAGTGAGGAAGGGCAAGTGTGGATGTAAATGATATCATCCGTAATTGAAGTTCATGAAGGATCTAACTGAAATCAGATTTCATCAATTTTAAAAATCATTGCTCCAAATAAATAAAAAGGTGAAGAATCTAGTTTCAGACTTCTGGTCCTCAAGTTATCAATCATTTTAAAAATGCTATTTCCATGTCGATGTCTGTAATATCGCAAGTCACAACACCGAATTCCTAAATTAGGATTCGAAAATATACTATTTTTGATTCATATTTAAATTTTACTTTCAGAGTTTAATCTTTTCGACCATTAACCCTAACATGTAGCAAACAAACTAAAAATGAGATGTTAGTAATACAAACGTACAACATACCTAATAAAAGCTTAAAACTTTAAGATAATAAGCTAGATATCCAAAAGAAGACCCTACCGCGTTGCTAACGGAGCACAAAAGATCATCGTCGCCTAAGGAGAAGAGTTGTATGACACGTGGATTGAAGAAACTGCACTGGGAAGAAAAAGGCGTAGAGCCATAATCGATTACAAAAAGAAACGGATACGATTTCTGGAAAAGAAATAGATAGAAAACGATGAAGTTGAGGGCGGTAGCTCGTTGAAGACAGAAGGTGCAAAGAACTCAATACAGAGATATATATTGGACCTGAAGCGGTGAAATGTAATTGGATGTGTGAGGCGGTGAGAAGATGAGGAAGATAGATGAGGAATACACCTTAAAGCGGTGTACAGAGAAAACACCACGTAACACAACACGTGTTAAAACAATAATACAGACGTCGACAATTAAAAAAACAATAATCCAGACACAGAAGAGAAAAAAATAAAGGAAAACAAAAAAGAAAAAACCCACCAATAGGATGCAAGAATTGTTCACCAAGGAGTTGTAAATTACTCTATATATATTAAATGAAAATATTTATTTAAATTCATAATCCCTTGAAGAGGAAAAGTGAAATTGCTTCATTTCAGAGTTCTCATTTTTTTGTTTCTAAAAGACTAAAACTAAAAAAAAAAAATGAAGATGAAACCTTTTTTTTTTTTAATTTAACCATTCATTATTAATTCAGTCACATATTTTTCTACAGAAATAACATATCGACGCAAAACACATATTAATTAATATATGTAAAATGTAGATAAATAAACCTTTATTTAGAATCTATATTATA